AGTCTCTTGGAGGAGAGACGAAACGTTTCATTAGAGAAGAACCCGTCCAGAAGACCAATACAATTTTTTTCTTTTTGACTCCTGAGTGAAGACCAAACCTGCAGACTCCAGGTGACCCAGGCACGTCTGGTGCTGAAGTAGGATGTTAAGAAGCTGCGGTTGAGTGGCTGATTGTGCACACTCCTCCAAAACAGCAGGGGTTTCACTGAGCCACGACACCGTCTATTAAAGAAATAAACAAAAACCTTTCATTTTCATAAACAACGCATTCAGTCTCACATCAGCTATAACAGAGACGATGGATTATCAAGGATGAACGCTGTCAAAAAAAAAGCTACCTGAGAGAGGGTRGGAACTGGAAGCAGCTGGTCCAATCGAATCAAAAACTCCCACAGCAGCTTCTCCAAGTCCTGCTCAAACTCTGGCCCGTACTCCACCGGAAACACTTCCTGTTGGGAGGATTAAATAAGCAACATTAAGTCCCTTAATAAAAACGGAAACGAAAACCTGTTAACTGTTGGTGCAGGTGGAGCGTGACATCAGAGGAGGGATACTCACTGTGAAGAAGCGCTCCCTGTCCGCTGTGTCCGTCAGCAAGCTGCTAACCAAAGCGTGGAAGTTTTCCACTGTTTTCATGATTTTTACGTCCTTTTTCTGAGAGAAAATGAAAAGAAATGACTCGATTTATAATACAAATATGATAAGCAATCATGAGTTTTGTTTTTATTTTCTTCCAACGGAAAAAAAAAGTTTGATTCTACTGAAACACTGGGTATAAAAATATAGGAAACAAAAWGACAGTATCAAAAGCTTTTAACAATCAGTTTACGCTAAAGTTTTTTTTTAACTCGAGCTATTTTAATCATACCATACTTTGTAGTATTTATTTATAACAAGTAAAACCCCTGAGAGAAGCCTGACTAATTGTCTATTACCAGTTTTATGGGCTGTATTGGGAGGTAGAAAAGCTTTGCCAGAGACAAGGATTGCTACAAATCTGTCAATAAATAAATATTTTGCGAGTGTGATTCAGAACGTTTAGCTCAAAATTACCACAGACGAAGCAGCAGGAGCACAAACCCTCTCCAGATGTGGTGCGATCACTTCAGCATCGGGCTGTGAGCGGCACAACTCTAAGATCAGCTGAAAAGACAGAGGATGCTCATGAGGAAATGCAGGAAACAGGAAAAACRCAGTGTGTTATGTCACAGATAAATGGGAAATGGACTCGTAGAACACTTTTCTCAMCATACACGCAAATCAAAGCACTTTATAAATCACAAGTTGGGCTAAACTGGGCTCCAATTTTTGGATTATTCTGAGGAATTGTTCATGTCATTTTAAAGAGGAAACAACTTTTGGATTTTAAGATTTAACCCATCCATATACAGCTGCAAAACTAACTGAATAAATCAGTGTGTAAGCATGAGCAAATTTATGCACGAGGTAAATCAGAGGCAAAGAGGGKTTCGGTGTTTTGACACTGTGGAATCAAACCTCAGACTCCCTCGCTGGAGCCACAGCCGCCTCACACCGAGGGAGYCTGAGGTTTGATTCCACCAGGATGTAGTCACACTGACGTGTGACTACATCCTGGTGGMATCAAACCTCAGRCTCCCTCGCTGGAGCCCCAGCCGCCTCACGCCGTCCTGCAAATACTCACTCGGGCTCTCAGCCCCAGGCTCAGCTTGGCCTGGTGTCGGAAGGTGAGCAGCCCGGGAATCGYCTGACAGACTGAGGTCACAAACTCCTCCACGACACCGTACTGCATCACGTCCCTCTGCTTCAGCACTTTCCAGACGGCTGCYGACACCAGGCGGACCGGGGGGGCCAGGAGCTGCAGGGCAGCAAAAGGAAGAGTGGCCCCTTCTGTGCAGAAAATTAGAGGAAATCAAGAAAATACTTTATCCCTATTAGGCAGGGTTGGAATATATTGACAGTTATACTTATTGCCATAACTTAGTGATATTAAAGCACAATCTGGATGCTTATGTACTCTCTRTTAGTAAAACACACACAGTAAACAAGTTAACATGCACAGATGAYATAATGAATATGAAAAACTTCACTCCACTGCTGCACTTTTCCACCACAATCACTGAAATCATGTTTTAACTCAGTTACTTACCAATATCGTTGACTTTTCTCGAAGCCATCTTGCCGAATGACTTTTGATTTGAGTTTACCTGACCAAAAGTTTTAGTTAGCTAGCTTTAGAAAAAAAAAAAATACTATTACCACTGTGGCGTCTAAACTTTTCTATAGATGTACACGAGGCAAAGCTATGTGACAGAAGCTATCGTGTTGCTACACGTTAAACGTTAAAAAATAAAACAAAACAATGCTGCTGATATTTAGTTACTGCAAACAAGGCTAAAACACGTCAAAAAATTGCTGCTGAATCTCGTCCTCCCGCGCCTTCACTGACATGACAGCAGAGCAGTCGCATTAAGTTACAATGAACGTACCGGATTGGCGGTGCTTCGTGACTGTGCATATGATACGTTCGACCATTTTGGAAACTCCGCTCAGGCGGGGCTCAAAAGTGTACTAAACAAACGCAAGCACGTTTGTTTCCAGGATGTGACGCACTGACCGGCTGGCTTGAATG